TATTATTATTATTATTATTATTATTATTATTATTATTATTTTCATAATATAGCAGGACCTGATCTAGAGAGTTTATCAAGAGGCCTTCAATCTTAATTTTATGTTACTGCTTTGAAAAGTTTGCTTTTCCAAATCAGACTAAAGCTGGGGAATCCAGTTGTTTCATGCTTTCATTACATCCCTGGTTAGATACTTTCATCTCTGCAAGTCAAAAACTGAATTGCAAACAAAGGCTGCGTCTGCATCGCAGACATAAAACAGTTTGACACTGTTTTAACTGCCATGGCTCATTGCTGTGGAATTCTGGGATTTTTAGTTTTGTGAGATACTTAGACACCTCTGGTGCTACAACAAACTACAAATCCCAGGATTCCATAGGATGGGGGTCTGACAGTTAAAGCGGGGTTGAACTGCATTATTTCTGCAGTGTGGATGCAACCAAAGAGATAAGAAGGTGTGGCAGAGAATTAGGAGATCTGTAATTTCCCAGTGTTTACCTGCTTTAACTTTACTGCTCACCTCTAGTTGTTGTTGTTGTTGTTGTTGTTATTATTGCTGTTGTTGTTATTGTTAAACAGAGGTCTCAGTAAATATAGCCAATGAGAGCAAAATAGTTATTTAAATATTTATATCCCATCCTCTACCCAAACATCTCTCACAATAAAATAAATTTCAACGGATTTATCTTGTAAATCAGTAAGTATTGGTGACTTTTAAATAAGGTGCAATAAGGTGCATCTACTGTGGTAACCATATTTTCACTTGTGTTCAACCTTTGGGAAATGCTAACATGGATAACTTGGCAGCACATCCTTTTGAGTGTCTTGTCCCCCCTCCCCAGTGATCCATAAATATATTTTATTTATCAACACAAGTAAAAAGAATTAGGAAAGTATCCACTGTGATAGCACTTCACTGAAGGCAGTGTTTGTCCTGACTGTGTTTGGGGAGGGAATATTGTGTTGTAATTTCCAAAATGTGTGTGTGCTCTGTGACCTTCCTCGCTAATCTTCTTAGGATCAATCCATGATGGTAATATTAGATGAAAATGAAAATAGAGAGCAGACATATGCACAGACCTTTGCTTAGAGTATTTCTCTTTGGGAGGAAAAAAGAATAGGCGAAGAAAACAAGGATAAACATATTGCTCCCAAATAAAAGATTATAGAGCCAAGGCTGGTTTTAAAAGTTAACTTAAAACCCACTTTCCTACCCTTACACAATTTTCCCATGTTAAGAAAGGGCTATCTATCCATTTTGTGTTGCTCTTGGCAAAGTTCGTCGTGAACTTTTTCATCTTTGTGGGGTGAGACTCACAGGGACAGACTAGTATTATTTGTTATTTAGTTTTGTTTTTATCTTGACTTTTTTCCTGCTATAGGACTCATGGCAACTTATAGTATCAACTAAAATAGAGCATGGGTTAAACAAGAGATTATATATACATAATATTGTACATGCATATATATATATATGTTAAAAACAACACTAAATTAAAAACCAGCTTTGTTGTTTGTTGTTGTGTGCCTACAAGTCATATCTGAGTTATGGCAACCCTAAGGTGAACCTATCATGGAGTTTTCTTGGCAAGATTTGTTCAGAGGAGGTTTGCCATTGCCTTCCCCTGAGGCTGAGAGTATGTGACTTGCCCAAGGTCACCCACACCCTCAAAAGAAGAATTAGTCAAAATGAGACAGTTGCCTTGTATGGCAAATGCTTGACCAGATATGGGGGAGTGATGGAATTGTGTTTCCCATAAAACTAATCTCTCTCCCCTAAACTAGGCTTCTCCACTCAGGTGTGATGGAGGGCTTTGTCCCATCACCGCCATTGAAGCAAGATCCAACTTTGGGACCAGTCAGCTTCTGTAAACCACTAGTGGATAGGTAGGAGTCTTGCCTTTTCCCCCAGGAAGCAAAGACTCGAACCAACCAGCAGTATTTTTACCAAGGCTTTTTCTTGTTTACCTATGTACGAGATGTCCTTGGACTCCAGTTCCCATCAGCCTCAGTGAGTATGGCCAATGAGATTATGGTAATTATAATCCAATAACGCAATATCTTCAACCTCTACCATATTGTCATATCCCTAAGCAGTAAAGCGGTATTGAAACAAGAAGAAGATCAGTTGAGGGAAAATAGGAGGAGAAAGAAGAGAATATGTATTAGGTTGCTAGCATTAGGGAGGTTAACTCCTCTCTTCTTCCACCTCCTCTCCTCTCATAAGCGAGGAAAAGGCGGCAAATATATAAGTTGTACAGTTGCCTTTTCCCCTATTTTCTCTCTCTCTCTCTCTTTTTTTTCAAACACAAGTAAGCCAAATACAGCTCAGGCATCTAGGGTTTTCGTTTTATGTTGTTATGATGCATACTCTTGGAAACGACTAGCTGAAAGGAAGACCAGAAAAGGACCTAAGAAGACATCAGAAGGCCAAGGAAAATAAGTTTGCATATCTAATAGATGAAATTTTATTTGTTGTATTTTATGGAAAATGTAATAGACATTTTAATAATAATAATAATCCAGTAACATCAGGATGGCTATGGTTCCACCATCTCTGCTACATACTTTGCTTCTCTTCTTTATTATTCATAGAAGCACTTTACAAGATCTTTAACACATACTATGTGGTGTGGTTCTTTTAGTTGCTTTGGGATCAGATTTAACTGTGTATTGATCAGATTAGTATTATTGTGGCTGAAGAAACAAAGTGAAATACTGTCGTCGTTCTAGTTCACGGACTTCCTATTCATGGTCTTCAATTTCGGCGGATGGGAAGCCAAGAGGGACAAAATGGTGCATGCACTCAGGGTGTGCATGCAGGGTTGCGTGCACGAGTGTGCGCCCATTATATCCAGTGGGGGTTGGATATTGCAGTTTTCCAATTTGCGGGGCTTGAGGGTCCAGAACAGATCCCCCACAAATCGGGAGGGACAACTGTATACTTACTTAAGAAATGCAAGTATCTCTTTTGCAGAGTTGCTGTGAACACTAAAACCTGTCTATTCTAGCAGGTGGTATGTATATGTGTGTATGTAGATATGTGTATATCCATATGCCCCTATCTGTATATATCTACTGCACCCTGTGATAGGGTTGCCTTAGGGTTGCCATAAGTCAGAAACTATTTGAAGGTACACAACAACAATAGCAACAGCCATTAGGGAACAGTTCTTTTTGAAACCCAGCCAGTTGTTGTAAGGCAGAGAGGTTTGCTTTGCTCTCTAAGGCTGCATCCGCACTGCAGAAATAGTCCAGTTTGACACCACTTTAACTGCTCTGGCTCAATGCTATGGAATTCTGGGAATTGTAGTTTTGTAAGACATTTAGCCTTCTCTGTCAGAGAGCTCTGGTGCCCCAGCAAACTACAAATCCCAGGATTCCATAGCATTGAGCCAGGGAAATTAAGGTGGTGTCAAACTGGATTATTTCTGCAGTGTAGATACAGTTTAAGAGAGAGAAGATAGAGATTTTGAGAAAGTGAGAACAAAGTCTGCTTGCCGGGGAGTGCTGACGTACTTAAACTGTGGCAACTTAACTTTTTCTAACCTTTTTAAAATTTTCTACCTCTTGTTGAGTCCTGGTTTCCAGCATGCTGTTTTTGTATTTTTTGCTTTCTTTCCTGACTGATTTTATATTGTATATTATCTGAGCAAGCATTTCCATTGTTTTAAGATTTTGTTGTAGACATCTGAGGAATACCAAGACCACGTCTACGAAAGCTTACGCTAGAACTTCTTTCACACAGTTAGTCTCACATGTGCTGCAAGATCCTTTTGCACGCTGATATTCCAGACTAACACGGCTACGTCTCTGAACTCATTACCCCATAAATTATTCTGATGCTTCTCACTGCAAGGGTCTTATTACTGCTTGCTTCTTTGCCCTTTGGGTACAGTATTCATGAGCGGAGGAGATTTAACTTGGAAAACAGTGTGTTAAATAAGGAAAAACAGGGCTGGCAGAATAAATTTTGCTGCCTTAAGCAGAGTAATAATGCCACTCATAGTACAGTCAGTGCTCTGCATTTGTGGGTTTGACATTTGCAGATTTGATTATTCACAGATTATTTGTTACTGCTGCTTCTGCTGCTTTCATACCATTTTTAATAGGGACTGCAAGCCTCATGATGAGACTGGGAGACTGCAAACTAGGCTTGTAAATTCCAATTAAAAATGAGATAGGGCAGTGGCGAACCTCACCCGCCACCTGTTTCTACATTGCGAGGGATCCCCGTCACCTCAGAGGCATCCATGGTGGGCTGAATCTGTGGGGTGTACTTTTTCTGTGTGTTAAATAAGGTGTGTGTGTGTATAGAGTTATTCATGATTTTTCCACTTTCACAAGTGTCCTGTACCCGTAGCATGTGGAGGGATGACTGTACCTAAATCCAAGCAAATGATTTTGAGCACAGGATGTAGAAAATCCTTCTGCCACCTCTTCCTATCTCTGGTTGTAAAAATGCAAAAACAAATTAAATAATGAATAACGTGTTACTCAGTGACACCCAAATCTGTTGTCTCAGATGACAGTCTCACTCTGCCTAATGGTAGGGCTGATCTTGTGAAAGTATATACCAGGGGTAGGCAACCTTT